TCTCACCCTGGATCCTATTGGGGCAAAACTATTTTTATCCCAGGCCTGTCGAAACCAGAAGGTGGCCTTTTTTCTGTGGGCTCCGCTGCCTCTGTAGAGACTTGCTCCTGGCGAGGTGACCTCACCCTGCCCGGGGGAGCCGGCTGCCGTGGTAATTGGCCGGCCTGGCAGCCAGCTCCCTAAGAGGCTGTCCTTCAGCTGATACTTTGTTGAGGCTGCAAGCCAGCCCCCTTGGGAGTTCCCTGAGATAGCAGCTGTCTTGTCTAATTAAGGAGAGACATGGGCAAGGTGTCTGGACAGGAGACCTCTTATCTCAAAGAGCAGTAACTGGGCCTGAACATCTGGAAGGCCCAGGCAGAGGGCGGGGGGGGGGTGGCAGCTCGGGACACTTGCCAGAAAATGCTATGCTGGCCATCGAGGATAGCATTCGAGGGTTTTTTGAAAGGACTCAACGTGTCCTATTTAGTGAATCGGGCAGTACGTCCCATGCATATTAAAAATGTTGTGCACTTAAGTTTCCAAGTATCCCCCTATATTTGTACACATGTAGGAAGCACTTCTCATATTCTACCAGAATGAAAAGTCCTGAAACAAGTGAGCAAAAGTCAAGAGGCTTCCAGATCTTTCAATGGGGTATTGCTTTAATCAGTTAGAACCACTTAAGAAATACTGGGACTCTTCTGTGCCTAAGCTGTTAGGGTCCACAGTGAAGACGTAGGTGTTAGGGGTGGATTCCCTTCAAAGTCTCGGGCAGCAGTGTCCAACAGAAATAGAATGTGAACCCCCACATGTGACTTACCATTTCCTAATAGCCACATGTGTAAACTTCCTGGGGATGCTGTGAACAAATGGTCACACACAGGGTGGGTCCAGTGACAGGAAGTTCCTTTAGTTCTGTTTTGGAGGCCAGAGATCTGAAATCAAGGTGTCAGCAGAGCCATGCTCCCTCTGAAGGCTCTGGAAAGAATCCTTCCTTGCCTCTTCGTAGCATCCGGTGGCTCCTGGCATCCTTGGCGTCCCTGGTCTTGTAGATGCTCCGTATCTCCGCATACGTCTCCCTGTGTCATCTTCCGTATGTCTGTCATTCCACATCCCCTCTCTCCTTTCTCTTACAGAAATACTTGTTACTGGTTTTAGGGCCTAGGCTAAACCAGGATAATTTTATTTCAAGATCCTGAAGTAGTCAGAGCTGTTTCCAAATAAGGCCCCATTGTGACGTTCCAGATGGGCATAAACTTTGGGGGACACTGTTCAGCCCACCGCACTTCACTAAACAAAATGAGAAAGACCAACAGCTACATTTCTTCAATTTAAATGTTCTAGTTAACCTCATATTCTAAAATACTATTATAGCATGTAATCGATATAAAATAATTCTTAATGAGATACATATGTATTTTTTGATGGTTAGCTTTTTCTAGCAATAAATTTTTTTATGATTGTCTTTTTTATTGAAGTGTAGTTTTTTTATGATTAATTTTTTAAAAATTTCTTTACTTTAATAGAGGCACTGGGGATTGAACCCAGGACCCCATGCATGCTAAGCACACGCTCTACCACTGAGCTATACCCTACCCCCTGCTGAAGTATTTAGTATCTGCTAATCCCAAACTCCCAATTTATCTCTCCCCGCCACCCCTTTGCCCTGTGGTAGCCATAGTTTATTTTCTGTGTCTGTGAGTCTGTTTCTGGTTTGTAAATAAGATCATTTATATCCTTTTCTTTTTTTTTGGATTCCGCATACAAGTGATATCATATGATATTTGTCTTTTTCTGTCTGACTGACTTCACTTAATATGATCATCTCCAGATCCATCAGTTAATGAGATATTTTAACCTTTTTTTCCCCTTGGCACTAAGTCTTTGAAATTCAGCACACTTATGGCGCATCTCAGCCTGGACCTGCCCGAGGGCTGGGCGGCCCCCGCGGCTGACCTCCGCGGCCTGGCCCGCGCAGGCGGGGCGCTGTGCTGCGGGCTTCAGCGCTTCGCCTTGTGTTTTCACCCTCTCCCCTTTCTTCTCTCCCTCCCTTCATCCTCCTCTTAGTTTCCATGGAATTTTCTGTTTATTTGGAAGAAGTCTCGGTCAGTTCTGAACAAAAGAAATACAAGCCTACTTTGTAGAAGCTCCTGGGTTCCCAGGACTCAGTGGGAGAGGCAGAGTTAGCCAGTTTCGGAAGAAAAGTCCTGTGCTCAGTTCCATTTTTAAGTATCAGGCTTTATCGGTGTAGTTTATTAAGCGTTTCTGTCACAAGTGGCTTAAATACGTGTGGCTAATATTAGGGACACAGCATATTTTATTGAGCAGGGGGCATAAGGGACTGTTACTACTCATCTCCCTGCCGTGAGATTTGTGACCCATCCATCTCTTGGCCCCCCGGGAACACGGGCATTATGCTCCCATGTTAAGACAAGAAGAGGCATAAATTTTTCTTTCGGCCAATTGCTCTAAGCCCGTTGCAATAATGGAGGCAGGATTTATATCTCTCAAAATCAGTATTGTCTTCTCCAAGAATTGCAAGCTTGTTCTTTTTTGGCTTGGACTTCGCTGAGGGGAGGAGGCTGGTTTATAAGCAGCCCCACAGGGGACCAGTTTTGGCTCCTTGAGTTCTTTAGTGTGGTTTGTGATAAGGATGTGGTTTCCACCCTCCCTCCCCCAGCTGATGCGTGCTGAGCCTCTGTTACTGTGGTTGGAATTTCTCTGGAACTATGTTTTCCCCAGTGAGGAATCAGCATTAGAGAGAATTAGCAAGCAACCCATGAATATGAGTACCAGAGAAGAAAACAAAGTTCAGAGTGAATGTCCCTTCCCTTCTCCAACTTTTGCACCGCCCCCCCCGTAAATGTATATCTATCTTGTTCCTCTGTACACCCACATTCATGTATATTTAAATTGATTATTCATTTATTTAAAAAATACTTTCAATGATGCTATGTATTATTCTATGGTTTGCCTTTTCTTCTATTCACCAGGACCTAGAGAGTTTGTGTCAGCACAGATAGTTGAGATTTGCAAAATATTAACTACTATATATAAAATAGATTTTAAAAAACCCCAAGATTTCTTTTGTATAGCACAGGGAACTATAGTAAATATCTTGCAACTTGTAATGAAAAAGAATATGGAAACAAATATATGTATGTATCTGCACGACTGGGACATTGTGCTGTACACCAGAAATGGACACATTGTAACAGACTGTACTTCAATTAAAAAAAAGTTTTTTTCACTCTTTTTTTTAATTGAAGTATAATTGATGTACAGTGTTATGTAAGTTACAGGTGTACAATATAGTGATTCACAATTTTTCAGGTTATACTCCGTTTATAGTTATTGTAAAATATTGCCTGTATTGCTTGCACAATACATCCTTGTAGCTTATTTTATACCTAATAGTTTGTATCTCTTAATCCCCTACCCCTCTGTTGCCCCTCCCTGCTGGTAACCACTAGTTTGTTCTCTAAATCCGTGAGTCTGCTGCTTTTTATTATATTCACTAGTTTGTCATTTTTTTTTAGATTCTACATGTAAGTGATACCATACAGTACTTGTCTTTCTCTGCTTGACTTATTTGACTTAGCATAATAGTCCATTCATGTTGCTGCAAATGGCAAAATTTCATTTTTTATGGCTGAGTGATATTCCATTGTCCTTATATACCACATCTTTATCCATTTATCTGTTGACGGGCACTTAGGTTGCGTCCATATTTTGGCTATTGTAAGTTAGCCTGTAACAATCTATATAATTGAATAAGTTTCCTCTCTTGTGGATCAAATGTTAGATGACCTATATATATGTATTTGCTGTATATAAGATGACATATATATTTACATTTTGCTTTAATAAACAGCAGACAAATGTCATTGAGCACATGTGAATTATTTCTGTAAGAGAGTTTCCCAGTAGCGCATTCGGGCCAAAGGGCAGGAACATTTCAACTTGTCTTCTGAAAGGCTGCACCAGTGTCCCCTCCCATACGTGTGTATCAGTTGCATGCATGTTTCCTCACATCCTGGGTGCTTTAGATATTAACAGTGTCAACCTTTTATTTTTATTTTTTGCCATCATAATTACTGTGAGGAAATATCTCACAGGGCTTTTAATTTTTCATTTCTCCATTACCAGCTATGCTGACCACTTTGTATAGGTTTATTTGCTATTAACATTTATTTTTCTTTCACTTAGGTTTGCTGTTTTCTTTCTGTCAAACCTTTTTATTGTTCTGTAGATGATCTTTTTATGTTCTGGATCTTAATACTTTGATAAATGCATTGTAAGTGTATATTCTCTCAACTGATCTGACTTAACAAAATTCATAGATTATTTGGAAGAGAATTGATATTTTTACAATATTGAGTCTTCCTTGAGAATTGATAGCTTGGCAATATTGAGTATTCCAAGAATAATGCATATTTCTTCATTTATTGGTCTTCAGTAGACAGTTGTAGTTTTCTGTTTATGGGTCTTACTCATTTCCTTGAAGATTTATCCCTAAGTATTTGATGGCTCTTGCTATTAAGATTTTTTTCCTATTACATTTTCCAAGTGGTTATTTCTGATATAAAATCTGTGTGTTGTACGTTGATCTTATATCCAGCCAATTTATTGATTTTTTTTTTTTTTTCGTTTTGATAATCTCTAAGCATTGCCTGCCAATTTTCATGGTTTTTGTGTACTGATAATACAGTGTTGAACTCTGGGCGTATTCAGGGCTTCCTTGTTTTGGTAACTTTAACAGGAACAGTTTCTTGTCTCTGTTCAGTATAATGTTTATTTTCAAGTTAAGATAATTTTCTTCTGGAGGGAGAGTGTAGCTCAAGCGGTAGAGCGCATGCTTAGCATACACAAGGTCCTACTAGGTTCAATCCCTGGTACCGCCTCTAAAAATAAATAAGTGAACCTAATTACCCCTCCAAGAAAATTTTTTTAAAAATTAATTAAAAAAAGATAATTTTCTTCTGTACCAAATTTGCTATTTAAAAAAAAAATCTGAAATTGTGCTTGCTTTGGCAGCACATATACTAAAACTGAAGCGTTACAGAGAAGGTTAGCATGGCTCCTGCGCAAGGATGACGTGCAAGTTTGTGAATCGTTCTGTATTTAAAAAAAAAAAAATCAGAAATTGCTGCTGAGTATTATGAAAAGTTTTTTTGGGCATCAACTATAATTCTTTTATCTTCCTTTAATTTCTTAACATAATCAATTTGTTTCAAATGATCTATCTATGCATTCCTATAACAAGCTTTAGTTATTATGTACCAATCAAGATGCATGATTTTATTGGTGCAGCCACTATGGAGGACAGTATGGAGGTTCATTAAAAAACTAAAAATAGACTTACCATGTGATCCAGCAATCCCACTCCTGGGCATATACCTGGAGAATAATACAATTCAAAAAGACACATGCACCCCAATGTTCACAGCAGCACTATTTACAATAGTCAAGACATGGAAACAATCCAAATATCCATCAACAGATGACTGGATAAAGAAGACATGGTACATATATATGATGGAACACTACTCAGCCATAAAAAAGAACAAAATAATGCCACTTGCAGCAACATGGGTGGACCTGAAGATCATCATTCTAAGTGAAGTGGGCTGGAAAAAGAAAGAAAAAAGCCATATATCACTTATAGGTGAAATCTAAAAAAATAAAAAATAAAAATAAGGACACAAATGAATTACTTATTATTAACAACTTAGATGGTTGATTTCTTGAATATGTGTAAGCACATCTGACCATCCTTTATGATTGGATTCCTGCATTCTGTTGATTTTTATTTTGTGGTTGACTTTATTCCTTTGATAACTATGTAAGTTTAAAAAGCTAAAGCTCTAATCTGTTCTTAGAAACAATGATCAGTACATATATATAAACTAAAAAAATGCAGTATATTGTATATATGTATTTACATACAATATATTGTACACGTGCAGTCAGATTGTAACAATTCTAATAAAACTGAAAAAGAAAAAAAAGATGCATGATTTTGATTGTGTACTATTGGATTTGATTGACAAATATTTTATTTCTGTTTTTGTGAGGTTGAGCTGGTGACTTTTTCCATGCTTTTTGCTCTCTGTATTTTGTGTTAGTGTCAGGGTTATACTAAATTCATAGAATGACATGAGAGTTTTTAAAAAAATTCTTTTTCTCATGCTTTGCACTTTGGCACAGTCTACAATACATAGCAACGAACTGGTCTCCTGCTGGCTAATATGGTAGCCACTAGCCACAAATGATTTGAGCACCTGACACCGTTTGAATTGAGATGTACCATGTCAGACATAGCTTGGAATTTTGAAGACTTAGCATAAAAAAAATTGGTAAAATGTCTTATTCATAATGTTTTTATACCAATTCACATGTTGAGATGATAATATTTTAGACATTATAGGCAATATATATATTAATTAAATTAGTTTTACCTACTTCTTTTACTTTTTAAAATGTGGCTACTGGAAAATTTTAAATTTTTTCTGTGGTTCACATATTTATGTTGGACAGCCCTTGAAAGTAACTACAACCTTCCCATAAAACCATCTGGACCTGGGTCCTTTTTTAGGAGCAGATCTTTGACTACTTTTTTCTTTCTTCTAGGGTTTTTAGAAAGTTTACTACTTATTAAATCAGGGTTGATAATTTATGTTTTCCAAGGAACTCACTGGGTTTCATCTAGTTTATCAAATTGATTGGCATAAAGTTCTACAGAGTACTTATTTAGCTATAAAATAAATCTGTAGTTTTATCTCCTTTTTTTTTGTTTGGTATGCTCTCCTGACCTTGATTAGACTTGCCAAGAGTTTAATGTTTTTTTTCAAAAACCAACCATGGTTATACTGGTTAGGTGTATGATTTTGCTCATTATTGATTTCCTTAAAAATTTTTTACCTTAATTTCTTTCATCTGTTTTCCTTGAGTGTCTTATTTTCCCCCTAGATTATTGAGTTGAATGATTAGTTTATTTATTTTTAATCTTTCTGTTTTTTCCACAAGTTCATTGAAGGATCTATGTTTTCCTTTAAGTGTGGCCTTAACCATGTCCCATGGACTTTGATACATGGTGCTCTTGCTGAGGGATTGTATACATGAAACCTGGCCATTTCTCTGTCTTCGCATCCAGTCAGTTATGAAAGTGTCCCCTGCGATCACCCAGTGAGCATTTTGAGTAATTTCCATCGTTCTCACGTATCGTGGGAATGGAGCTGATCTGTTCTGTGAGGAGCATGACTTTTCATTTGTAAGCGGTCCAGTCTTGTTCAGTCAGAGCTGTGGCCAGTTTCACAGTGACTGGGGCCAGTATCCTCAGGCTGCTTTCATTGGTTGCATACTCTTCAAGTCCTTGCTTTAAAGTATTAACCGTCATAGTTCATCATGGCTTATAAAGCTCTTGTCCCATCTCCTCCTTCACCCGACAGGCACTCCTAGCGTATTATCATCTTCTTTATTACCACCTCCATTCGTTCAGTGCCTCCCACATTAATTACTTAGCGCCCCCAACAGTTTTGTGAGATAGATATTTTTATACTCATTATATAGGTTTATACTCATTATGTAGATTTTTATACTCATTATAGAGATTTTCTTTCATTTTTCAGTTTAATTAGGTAAAATTGATACAACTTGACCGCACATTTACAATATTGCATGTAAATACATATATACAATATACGGCACGTATTTTTTAAAATGTACATGAACGTACTGTTCGTTGTTTCTAAGAACAGATTAGAGCTTTAGCTTTTTAAACTTAAGTAGTTATCAAAGGAATAAAGCCAACTAACAAAATAAGAATCAACAGAATGCAGTCATCCAGTCATAAAGGACAGTCAGACGTGCTTACACATATTCAAGAAATCAGTCAGCTAAGTTATAAATGTTAAGTAGTTCACTTGTGTCATTTTTTTAGATTCCACATGTGAGTGGTATCGTGTGGCATTTTTCTCTTTCTAACTTACATCGCTTGGAATGACGATCTTCAGGTCCATCCATGTTGCTGCAAATGGCATTATTTTATTCTGTATTTATTTATATATATACACCACATTTTCTTTATCCAGTCATCTGTTGATGGACTTTTGAGTTATTTCCATGTCTTGGCTATTGTCAGTAATGCTGCTGTGAACTCTGAGGTGCATGTCTTTTTGAACTATATTTTTCTCTGGTTATATGCCCAGGAGTGGGACTGATGGATCATATGGTAAGTCTGTTTTCAGTTTTTTAAGGAAACTCCATACTGTCCTCCTTAGTGGCTGCACCAATTTACATTCCCACCAACAGTGCAGGAGGGTTCCCTTTTCTCCACACCCTCTCCAGCATTTGTCGTTTGTAGACTTTTTAATGATGGCCATTCTGGCTAGTGTGAGGTGATACCTCATTATAGAGATACTTTTATACTCATTATAATCATTATAGAGAGTACATTTTATATTCTATATTTTTGTACTCATATAGGTATTTCTATACTCATCATACTCATTATATTTTACTCATATAGTTATTTTATACTCATATAGATTTTTTAACACCCATTATACATTCATTATATTTTATACTTATTAGATAGATATTTTTTCACATACTCATTTTATACTCATTATATTTTATACTCATGATATATTTTTATATTCCTCATATAGATTGGGAAGCTAAGGGAGATTAAGTGATTTGCCCCGGGTTCATACAGTTAGTAAATTTTGGAGCTAAGACTTGAAACCGCATTTATTCAACTGCAAGGCCCACCCCCGTGAGCACGACTTGATGCTGAGTACTGTCCCCTGCAGCCTTTCTCCCCGCTTCCAGCTAAGACGAAACACTTTGCTGACAGTGAGTTGGCCTCCTTTCCTTCCCCCGTGGCTGCCGTGGGCTGATTCAGGGCAGGGTGCTGAGCAGTGGGAGAGGGAGGGAGCCTCCCTTGCAGGAGGCCGGACAGGACCCCTCCCCGGAGTCTCCGGCCAGCCTCTCGTGATGGAGGCGTGTGTCAGCCCTCCGTCCCTGCCCCTGCGCCCTTCCCTCCATCCAGCTCTCTCCACGCCTGCAGAGTCTGAGGGAGGCAGTATGTCCTGAAAGGACTTTCTAGTTCTTAGGCTTTGCTGCAGGAAGATCCAGTCTCCTCCTACCAGGTTATCTGAGGAAATTTCCAGACATCTGTTTGCTCAGCAGGACTTGAGGAAGAATAGGTATGCGTTACCTCTGTGATTCAGTCCCAAAGTCTTATCTGTTTTAGGCTAATGGATCTCAACCTTTTGTTTTTAATTTAGGTTTGAGTTTTAAGGTAAATATTATGACATAAGAAAAGTAAGGGTTGTTCTATTTGTGATGTATTTGTTTATGTTGGTAATTCTATTTTATTTTTTATTTTTATTGTTTTTATTGAAGTTTAGTTGGTTTACAATGTTGTGGTAGCTTCTGCTGTAACAGCACAAAGATTCAGTTATACATAAATATGTATTTCATATTCTTTTTCATTATAGGTTATTACAGGATATTGAATATAGCTCCCTGTGCTGTACAGTAGGTCCTTGTTGTTTATCTGTTTTATATACAGTAGTTTGTACCTGCTAATCCCAAACTCCTAATTTATCCCTCCCCACTCCCTTTCCCCCCTGGTAACCATAAATTTGTTTTCTGTGTCACTGAGTCTGTTTCTGTTTTGTAAATAAGTTCATTTGTATCATTTTTTTAGATTCCGCATATAAGTAACATCATATGAAGTTTGTCTTTCTCTGACTTACTTCACTTAGTATGATCATCTCTAGGTCCATCCATGTTTCTGCAAATGCTGGTGATTTTAGAATATTAAACAATACACGTTCTTCTGTCCCCCTCACCAACATTCTAGAAAATTGTGACACGGAGGAGGAGTAGACCACCCCCTACCCCCCGTTCTGCCTCAGTCTCTCCACATTGCTGCTCTCGTGCTGCATGAAAATGATCTGGAGGAAGCAGGTACCCGTGTGTTTAACTGTACAGGAGGCGGGAGGTTACAGGTGTGCTCAGAACAAGTGCACATGCTATTTCCTCTTGACTGAGCTGCCCTCCCCTCCCTGCTCGAAGGGCCCGTGTCTGCAGAGATCTCTCTGACGTGCCCCTATGAGCACTGTCTTTTCAATGGATCCATTACTAGTATCCCTTCCTTGGAGATCAGAGATGCTGTACCTTGGCTACACGTTGGGAACAGTTGCTAAAAGTACTGGCGCGTGGGTCTTATCCCCTGAGCTTCTGATTTCAGTGGTCTGGGTTCAGGGGTGGGCCTCAGGCTTTAAAGAGTGCTCCAGCCACGCCAGGTGCCTCCAAGGTTGAGAACCCCCGGGGTGGACTTTTCATTTCTGCAGAGGTTTCTTGTGTCCTCAGCATCCAGTCCCGTGAGTGACACGCAGTGGGAGTTCTGTGTCTGAGAGTCAGTAGACGGTGCCTGAGAGAGTGGGAAAGGCTGGTGCTTTATCTGCTCCTTCCCCTCTCCTCCCTGGCTTTCTTCCACCCCCTCACCGCGGCCAGAGGCAGGGAAAACACACCCCATTCGCCTTGTCTTCTGAGGTAATCCAGTCCTAACACCGTCTGTGTGAGAAGCCTCGGGGAGGTCCCGGGACAGTGACGTTTCGTCCAGGTTGGTGGCTCTCTGAGGGGAAGTGGAGGATGCGGGCCAGCAATTGCTTTTGGATCGATTCTCAGCAAGCTGGCTCCCGGAGCTCCCTTGTAAGGCGGAACTTTGTGCTTAACTAGGTCACCGTCTCTCTGAGAATCTGGAGTGACAGCTGCTGGCTCTGGTGGGTTTGATTCTGGTCCATGCAGAATTCCTGCCAGTTTTGCTTCCTGCCCGGAGCCAGCCAGCCTGCCAAAGAAGGAGACTTGGGCTGCGGTTGCAAGTTTGCCCAGATGCAAAATCCATCCTGGTGGTCAGAAGCTAAAGTGTTTCCTGAGGCAAATGAGGACAGCCTCCCAAGTCACGCGCTTCCTTGGGGTTTTGAACCTCAGTCATTATCCAGCTGCCCCCAAGTTGTGGAGTAAATCTGGATCCTTCTGAGGTTATGAAACCCTTGGCTAGGCAACTTGGCATCTTTATAATTCAAGGAGCGCCCTGTGCACTCTCGGTGGGCCTTGGTGGAGGTGTGGCATTCCTTTCCACCCAGGTGTCAGAGAGATGCATCCGTTCTGGGTTGTAGTAATGATTGTGTTTCCCTGTGTACCAGAACACACTGTGGTTCCTGGACTGGATGTTAAAAGGAGGAGGAAAAAGGATGATTTGCTCATGTAAATTAGAGACCGAAACCTGGATGGAATTTTTTTTTCTCAATGATTGCTGTTAAAGAAAATAAGGAAGTAAGGGTGGTTTACCCTAATGCCTAAAGGAAAAAGTGAGAGAGAGAAATGAATGAGTTTGGAGACATCCTGTCTCGCCCTGGTGATCTGTCTCTGTCCCTGTTTCAAGCCTGGGGGATCCTGTCTGAGAGCAGGAGGAGAGATCAGGGAGCCAGGAGAAAGGCCTTATCATTGCCTGGATGCCTTGTAGGATAGCCACCACTTCCACCCCCCCTCACCTCCTCCAGCTCTTCCCCTTGCCCCCCGGGCTCTAGCCTCACTGGCCGTGGCTCCTTGTGGAGCACACCGGGCTCGCCCTCAGCGTGGTGCAGGCTGTTCCCTCTGCCTGGGATGCTCTTCCACCCGATCGCTAAGTGGTCCAGCCTTTGCTTGATGCCGGCTTCTCAGAAAGGCCTGGTTAGAACTGCACGTTCGATCTCCCTCTCCCCCGAACTCCCCTGTGTCCGTCTCCCCATCTTGCTTTCCAGGTGCAGTCACCCTCTCATGTACTGTATGATGTGCTTATTTGTGTTGCCTGTTTGCCCCGTCCCCGCCACCCCAGTGTCAGCTCCGCGAGGACAGACGGGATCGCGCTTCGTTTCCTTTTACACCCAGCAGAAGTCGCTGGCAGAGCGTGGCCCTCAGCGCGTGCTGTGGCGTGAGTGAGTCGACGTGCGTAGTAATTCTTTGGCCAAGAATGTAGCTCTCCGAACTCAGAGTGTTCTGGCCGGCGCTGCTTTCTCATTGGAGGTCGGGCCTGCTGTACTCGGCTGGCTTGCTGGGACTCTTCTGTTGTCACTTTCCTTCCTCTAACCAGAGGCCTCTTTGGAAAGGGCAGCCGGATCTGCCCAACTGCTCAGGGCAGCTGGAGGCTGGGAGCTCTCCCACCGCCGGGAGAGGAGTGGTCCTCGCGGGCTGGTTCCCTCCACTCCTGCGGAGATGGTAGGGATGCTTTCTTGGGAGCAAGTCCTCAAGAACATGGCCTCTGAGACCTTCCCAGTCTCTAAAGAGGTGGGTGGCTCTCTGCAGAGAATGTCAGGGCCCAGCTGAGCCAAGTAGCAGAGCAGTGGGGGTGACAGCTGGTCCTGCCTGATGCCTGGCCACGCGAGAGGCTCACCGGAGCTACTCCGGGGGTCTGCTCTGCTGGGGTTGCTGACGTGGGGCCCTTCCCCCGGCCCATCCGTGCCCATCTTGTGATGACATGTGAGGAGCAGTCAGGTGGGGCTTGCCAGAGTCACTGGGCCTGCTGAAAGGGCTTATGATCAAAAGCCTTCTTCCACCTTGACCTTTTCTTCTTTCACCTTCATCTTTGACCCTTCTTGCCTTGCCAATTATTCTTTCTTTTTTTTTTTAATTATTTTTTTAATTGGAGGTACTGGGGATTGAACCCAGGACCTCATGCATGCATAAGCATGTGCTCTACCACTGAGCTCTCCCCTCCCCACTATTCTTTCCTTTCTTACTCTCCTAGACATGTGTACCCTTCGGAAACTGTTCTGTCTTGGAGAATTGTCTGTGTGATGTCAAGGCAGCAGGCATTCTGGAATTTTCTGCAATTCAGACTTCCATTAACTGCAGCCATCTGGTCCACGAGGATGTGGAGTGTGGGGACATCTAAAGCAGGGAGAAAAGATGTCTCAGGGAAAAAAAGATTGACTGCAAAGCTCAGGAACAAAAGTCTGTACAGTTTGTTTAAAGGCCAGTGCTGTCCAGTTGAAGTGTAATGGGAACCACGTGGGTAATTTTGAATGTCCTGGCAGCCACATTAAAAAAGGAAAGAGAAACAGGTCCAATGAATTTTAGTGTCTTTTATTTAACTTCATGTATCTAAAATATTGAGATTTCAACATGTAATGAATGTGAAAATTATTAATGAGTTTTTTTTGCACCTGTCTAACTCTGGTGTGTGTTTTACACCTACCATGCATTTCAGTTTGCACAAACCATATTTCAGGTGCTCAATGGCCACATGTGACTTGTGACTCCCGTATTGGACAGTGTCCCTAGAAGTCTCTTAACGCGAATGAATCAGCCTGTGTTTCTTCTTATTCTAACAATTAATTTCATAGTTTTCCAGCCATAGCAGATTGAAGCAGTACATAGATGGAGAGAGGGGTGGAGGGGTAAAGAACAGAGGGGAATGGGCAGAAAAATTCTAAGTGGCTGGAGTCACTCAGTGCAAGCCTGCTAGCCTCCCACCCCTGCTGACCCCCAAGTCCCCAGTGTGGTAGCTTGGCAGGATCACTGGGAACAATTGATATCTTTCCATGCTTGTCCTCTACTCCATAACCCACGTCATCACAAAAAGGCTAGATTTGTATTCAAATTTGTGTCCTCTAAGAAGGTAGGGAAGTGTGAAGTATATGTGGAAAAAGTTAAGATTCTGTCAAGTGTTGGTAAGATAATAGTACAGGGAATTTGGGAGGTACACACGGCTCCCAGACTGTGATGAGCTCTCTCCACTGCCGCAGAGGGCTTGGAGGAGCCTGCAAGCGTGGCTTCAGCTCGGCTCAAGTCCCTGAGATTGCTGGCTTCTTCAGTTCCACGGGGCAGGGTTGGAGCTGGCGTCTTGGGGCCTGTGAGGCTCAGCTGTGACCTGGGCCCCAGCTCTGTTGCAGGGACTTCAGGGGTCTCGCTTGTCCCTTTGGGAAGCTTAATGGATGGGCTCCCTTGGGATCCACTACTCCATGGATGCTTGCTGGGGGCACTGGTACCAAAGTGGGTGGGTCTGCTCTCTGTGCTGCAGTACGCAGCTTCCAGCCAGCAGAAAACAAACCAGTACCAAAACCCCAAATGCCCAAGTCGCACACCCGCTTTGCCTTTTGTCTGCGCTTGTTTCTTGTGGATGTGTACAACACGGCTAACTCAGGAGCGGGGAGGGTAGCTGTCATGTAACTAGTGTGTACGGCTCGTGTGTAAAACATTCAGACCACTGCTGCCTGTTACCTGATTCTGCTTCTCTCTTTGTTCATTTTGCAGGCTGAGGAATCCTGTAAATGTAATGGCTGGAAAAACCCCAACCCGTCTCCCACGCCCCCCAGAGCTGATCTGCAGCAGATAATCGTCAGTCTGACGGAATCCTGCCGGAGCTGTAGCCATGCCCTGGGTGAGTTCCTAAACCTTCACGGAAACTCTGTGTCCTTGTTGCCTGAAAATTGTAACTTACCAAATTCCGTAGCTTGACCAAACTTGTGCGCTTTCCCTCTATATGAGGCCACAACAAAAGAGACTTTTTTTTTCCTTTTTTGGGGAGCAGAGGGGAAAGTAATTAGGTTTGTTTACTTATTTAATTTATTTATTTATTCATTATTTTTTTTTAACGGAGGCACTGGGGATTGAACCCAGGACCTCGTGCATGCTCAACACGAGTTCTACCACTGAGCCGTACCCTCCCCGCCAGGAGAGTCTCGTGACTTTGCCGGGAAGGCTTCATGTGAGAGGCAAAGCCTGCGCTGTTTGCATGGATTCCTCATCTGTCTCCTCCCCATTTTCCCCAAGAACGTGGTTGCGTGGGGCTGCGGGGAGAGGGAACTGCCAAATAAGATGCAGCGCGGCAACTGAGCTGGTCAGAGTAACACGGAACACGTCCTGATTCATTCTGAGTCTCGTTAGCGTTATGAGTCTCCGATTCCCTGAACTTTCTGGGAGTGCTTCGTCTTATCTTCACATTTTTTTTTTTTTAGTTTCCTGTGTCTGGTAGCTCTTGTCTTCCTTGGGGCTGTGTTTGGTAAATATTTACTTGTGTTTTCCCTTTCAGCCTTATCTGTCCCTGCTAGATAATCATTGTCAGCCTGGCGAGATAGACTCAGGGGAAAGGTGCTAGTATGTTCTGTGTCCCAATACTCCTCTTAGGATAAAACATGTTTTTAAATTGTATTTTACCGGAGTGGATAAAAGTTACTGGGTAATTAGTGTTGCCTAGAAATGGAAATTCCAGGTCACGAGGGATCTTGGAACATTATACTTCCTTTTCTTTTTTTTTTTCCTGCCTTCAGTTATCCAGTCTGTAACTATGAAAAAACGTGAAAGCAGGAATGAATTCAAGAGCAAGCCATAGTAAAGTGAAAGCAAGTTTATTTAGGGAGACACACATTCCCTAGGCAGAACGCAGTCTGTCTGAGCAGGGAGAGTGGCCCCGGGGTGCGGGGGTGGCTGGTTTTACGGGCTGGGCAGTTTCACAGGCAAGTGGGAGGATTATTTAGCTGTTTTGTGTAAGGGGCGGGGATTCCTAGGAATTGGGCCCCCACTCAGTTTTTGGCCTTTTATGGTCAGTCTGGGAACTGTCAAGGCACCAGTGGGTGTGTCACCTGACAGCTAATGTACTGCAGTGAGCACATAATGAGGTTCAAGGTCCACTGAAGCCGAATCTTCCGCCATCTTGGGCCTGCTTGGCTCTGACCCGTTTATGTCGTATCCTGGATGGCTGTGTCATTCTTCTGGTGGCTGTGCCCTGCCCCCGCCCTCCTGTCTCACGTGGGCCTTGCCCGCTGACCCTTTGGAAGCGGGTGGCTTCTGTTAGCCATCGTCTCTCTCTCAGGCTTCCTGTGTGTATGAGAAGGTCGCAGCATCAGCCTCCCTTAGCCTGGTGTTCCGTCTAGTTTGAAGTGTTAATTCTGTCCTCAGCTGGAGAGGATTTCAGTACTTACAGAGCAAAAAAAAAAGTAGGCAGTGTGGTCTTCTCAGGAAGTTACTGCACTCGAGTGACCTTCCGAGAAAAGGAAATAGAGAACATTGATCTCACAAAAGAAATAAACACACCGATGATTACATCACTGTGTTGATTTGTCTGGTGTCTCAGCAAACGTCCGTTCTGATTTCTGAAGCTGCCAGAAGGAAAGGGCAAAGGAAAGATGCCAGAAGTCACAGAACCATCTTTGCTCATAAGGTACCTTTTCACAACTGGTCCCTGAGTGGCGCCCTTTAGAATTGCTTCGGGAAATATGACGCAGTAAAGATCTGCTCCGACTGGGCTAGACCTGTGCTTGGTACGATCGGGAAATCCTATTATCCTACAGCAATTAACGTTGAAGAACAGAATCTTCTTCCTTAGTTAGCTGAACAGACTGTCTCCATTCTGAGCTTGTAAACACACATGAATGCCCAAAGGCAGGAAAAGCCTTTCTCAAGGAAAAGCCAACTTAGTTCCCTTTTAAATTTCTTAACAAGCTGTGAATACAAATACCTTTATTTGACAACACATGACCAGGAATGGAAGGAAAAGGGACATGTCCCTTGACCTGACGAATCTGAGCCACAAATTTCACCGAAATATAAATTAAGATGTGCCTTCAGTTTGAACTAAAAGGACAGCTATTATAGCCTTATGCATGATATTAAAAAACTGGAAAAAGCGTGGAGGGTGTAGCTCAGTGGTGGAGCGCATGCTTAGCATGCACGAGGCCCTGGGTTCAATCCCCAGTACCTCCATTAAAAATAAATAATAAATAAACCTAATTATCCCCCCATCAAATAAAAACAAATAAAAAACTAGAAGCAACCTAAATATCCCAGTGTAGGAGATAATTGGTTGAATTATGAAAACCTATATTATAATATTCAGTATGGCTATTAAAATGTATTTTCCATCATCTTAACATGGATAGAATGGAAAGACATTCTTAGCACATTATTAATGAAAAAAAGCAGGTCAGAAAGCAGCTCAATGGGAGGTTTTACAATTTAGGACCAAATGACAAGATCCACCAGCCCATGTTCAAATCGCAGCCAGGAGCTGTGAGCGGGGGCTGTTATGTAATATTATTGAATGTATTAGATTAAATGTAATGTATTATTATTGGGGCATATTATTGAATCTGCCTGGACCTCCAGTTTTCCAGCTCTGAAAGGAGTTAATAGTAGTATTTCCCTCCCAGGAGCGCTATGAGAATTAAATGAATTAAGGCAGATGAAAATTTTCGCCCTTTTCTTGGCCGATTAACTGCATCCTTATTAGCTCCTGTTAGCATAGCATTCCAGGACTCTCAGGGTTCTTCACTTCCGATGACAGACGTGAACTCTGCCTAATTTACGCGAGGAAACAGTGTTTCTGAGGGTCGTGGGAGCTTCCACAAGCTGCAAACGAAGGGAAACCCGGCATCAGCCTGGTCCTGGGATCCCGGTGGCAGGAGTTTGTGGACCTTCTGTCTAGGACACTGGGTGGTCCAGCTCCAGCTCCCTGGTCCCTGGGAGTGTTGGCTCAGGATTTAAATCCTTACCGGAGGGGCCCTGATGAGCGCAGTTATCTGTCACTCGTCTGACCTTGAGTTTCCCTCTCCGAGAACCAGCTGGACGGCTGCCAACACAGAAACGGCGCTACACGTGTAACCTCATTTCGTTGGTGCAGGTAATGAAACGTATGCTGTACTGCATACGAACAGGAGAAGGTCTGGAAGGACGTCTGCTGAGCTGCTGACGGGAATTTTCTCAGGATACTGGGGTTATGGGCACTTTCAAAATATTCCCCCCTTTTCCTTCCTTTCTTCTCTGTCTTCAAGTCTGCTTCCTTAAAACTGACATGTCTGCACATTTTCAAGTGATCTTAGGGTCTTCGCCGGAATGCGATAGTTTATTTCTTGGTCTTAGTGTCAGGGCTCTAGGGCACGTTCTCCTGTGATTATGTCTCCCCCTTCTACCCTTAAAAAATAATTTTTATTGTGGAAAATTTCACACATACATAAAGGTAGGAAGCATCGTTTAATAAACAGCCTTGTATCCATCACCCAGCCTTGACAATGATTCACGTCTAATTTCCTTCCCCTACTTTTTTTTTTTTTGCCAGAGTATTTTAAGCAAGTTTCAGACATCTTTTCTTATTCATGCAGATTGCTGCTTAAATCTTACCAACAGACTAGAGGTTGGGGGAGTTCTGTTAAGCATCAGGCAAGCTTGGATTCTCAGAAACGTTTCAGTTTGTGGACATTGTGCTTCTTCCCAGTCCCTGCTCCGAGCATGGAGATTTTTAGTCTCCAGCAGTCATACACGGGTGTCAATCTATGTAATGCGCCCGGACTTGTCGAAACAGAACATTCAGGCCTATCGATTGAGAATGGTGTCTGTTCTGTTGATTTGCCCTGGGTAGCCTTTGCCCAGCCAGGCACAGTCTTTTGACAGTGAGCTCCGGTTTCACGTGGTCTCCTGACAGCTACTCCCATCTGGCTGTCCTTGGCCTGCCATCATTTGATACTCCTCTGTGTCTCCTGGTGTGAAACGCAGGGCTGAGTGTCATCAAATGGAAAGAACATTCCGCTGCAAGCTGGGAGATAAGAAGTCCAGGCCCGGCTCAGCGGTTTACCGGTCCCTTCACTGTTTTGCCGTCCATTCATATCTTCATCCGCAGAATGAAACTGTTCACCTGGACCTCTGCTGTCCAATATCATAGCCACTCGCTGAGTTTGGTAATGAGCACTTCAATGGTAGTGAGTCCAAACTGAGATGAGCTGTAGCTGTGAAATACAGGCCAGACTTTGAAAGCTTAGTGTGAAAAAGAAAAGTGAGATATCTTATTAAAATTGATTACATGTTGAAATGATACTCTGTGGGGTGTATTGGGTTAATGAAATATTATTATTTTTTAAGTAATTAATTATTTTTATTGAAGTACAGTCAGTTACAATGTGTCAGTCTCTGGTGCACAGCATAATGTCCCAGTTTTGCATATACATACATATATTTGTTTTCACATTCTTTATGAAATATATTATTAAAATTAACTTCACACTGTTTCTTTTTTCAGTGTTGCTACTGGGAAGCTTAAAATTACGTGTGTGGCCTCCATTATATTTCTTTTCTTTTTTTTGAATCACTATGTTCTTTTTTAAAACTTTTTTTATTGAATTCTAGTCATTTTACAATGTTGTGTCAAATTCCAGTGTAGAGCAGTTTTTCAGTTATACATGAACATACACATACATTCATTGTTACATTCTCTTTCGCTGTGAGCCACCACGAGATCCTGTATATAGTTCCCTGTGCTACACAGTACAATCTTGTTTATCTGCTCTACATTTTGAAATCCCAGGCTGTCCCTTCCCACCTCTCCATCACCCTGGCAACCACAAGTTTGTATTCTATGTCTATGAGTCTATTTCTGTTTTGTGTTTATTTATT